AGCCCCCGTGTCCTGCCGTGCCTGCACCTGGCCTGGGTGTGAGCGCCGGGGCCCTGGGAGCTGCACCCGCTCTGCCTCCCCCTGCCTCGCTGTCCCTCCGCGAGAACGGGGTGCTCATCGCCGTTACGGGCGCGTACGGATCATCTCAAACGCTGACATCATTCCTACAAGTCCATTAACTTTGCCCTTCTAATTTCATTTCGGCCTCGTTAATGGCTGAAGGAGCCCCGTCAACTCAATTTATTTTCTCTGCTGCTCTCTCTTAAGGCGCAGAGGCTGCTGGCGCACAGGCGACCGCAGAAGGCCTTCTTTGAGGCGTTCATCAGGAGCCTCATCATCCTGTGCGTGGCCATAGCGGTGGTCTTGTCGTCCATCTCCGTCTGCGACGGCCGCTGGCTTTTCGCGAGAGGGGAGCTCTTCGGACTCTGGCACTTCTGCACCGTCAGCAACAGCAGCGTCCTGAAATGCGTCACCGATCTGAGCCTGGCCAACGTGGAAGGGATGAACGTGGGGATGATCCTCATCAGGAGCATGGTGGCTTTTGCCGTCGTGGTAGCCATATTCGGCCTGGAGCTCCTGATGGTCTCCCAAGTCTGCGAAGATGCCAACTCGAGGCGAAAGTGGTCGCTGGGCTCAGTTCTCATCCTCGTCTCTTTTTTGCTGTCATCCGCTGGAGTCCTGAGCTTCTCAATCCTCCTGAGGGATCACATCACCTTCATGGGCTTCTCGCTGACGTACTGGTGCGAGTTCATTGCCGCCTTCCTCTTCTTCCTTAACGGGATCAGTGGACTCCACATCAACAGCCTCACGTACCCGAGGAGCAGCGTAGGGAAAATCTAGGTGCCGAAAGCGCTCTCTGCCTTTGCGTAATCAGCTTTGCCAATTAGACTGGAAGAAGGAGGAGTCTAATGAAGTTTGAAAAGGACGCTGCGTCTTGCATTGTGTGTAGAGAGGGGAAGCGTGGGTCAGTCGGACGGTTTGGTTTTGGAAGACAGACCCACCGATCAGCGTGGAGGGCCGCACAGTATGGGCAAAGCGGGAACTAGGACTGCTTGTTACTGAAATGCAGCTTTCTGGGGCAATGGATTCAGAGGGTTTCCTGTTAAAAAATAGCAAACTGCAGCCTACACAAGCGTGCTCGGTCGTGAGGCTTATACACAGCCTGTACTGTTCCGGGTTTGGTAGTGTGGAGCTTTCCCCCATCCTCTGGAGCCCGTGAAGCCCGCGTGACACAACATCAGTGTCTCATGCACTTGTTTGGTATCAGGGACAGGTTATCTGTGCTTCCCCCTGCGCTCCTCAGCTGTTGTAGGGCGTTGCTCTTCCTGGGTTTTTTGCCCTCCTTTTTGGGAAGGAGGGACGAGCTCTGCGTGGGCTTGGGGTGGGAGCTGTGGCTGGCCAGACCGGGCGGTCGCCTCGGCTTGTCAGCGCGCCGCACCTTCTGCTGTGCGGCTGGGCCACGAAGCTTCTCACCAGGGCGATGGCAAACAGGCTCATCCTGCGGCTGTGACCAGCCCGTCACAGCCTTCTCCCGTAGCGTCGCCCCTGGGATGAGCGAGCTGCAGATCTTCCTGGTCGCACCAAGTCCCTTTTCGTCCCCTGACTAACAACGGGACTGGGTGAGGAGGGAGAAGGGGGAGCTGGCCGAGCAGCTCTAGCAGCGAGGATCTGCCCCATGCTAAGATCTCGACAGCTGTTGCAGTTTTTAAATTCCTCATTTGTGTTTGAGGTAAAACAAGAGGCAACTGCAGAGGTTGGCTGCTCCGAATATGTCCTCCTTGTCCGGTCCAGGGTACAGCACCCCCTGCACAGCAGATAAAAATATCTCCGGAGTACCCCAGGGCCTCTGATTTGATGCCTGTTTTGTATCTGCTGGTGAGATTTCTTGTAGTCAGTTTTAAGGCAAATGTTCATACGTGCCTCATCTCTGTTCTTGATAGTTGTTAGCAAGGTATTTGTTTTTGTGCAGCAAGTTTGACGCAATTTTTTTTTTTTACCTGACACGAAAGCAGCATAGCATGAAGGCCGAGAGGGCTGTGCAGGTGAGCCGCAAGTCAACGGCTCTGCTGGAGGAGCCGGGTGACAGCTGAGAAGCGCAAGTCCTGCCCGAGCCTACGCGTGCACTTGCCAAATGCTCTCCTGTGGACTCGCTCCCGTCCTGAGGACAGGCTCCTTCCTCCAATGTCATAGCGTTTATTTACAAGAATGTCTCTAAGCATCTTCTGAGATCGCGTTTCAGGCCAGGTCTAGACATGAGCCTTGCTCTGGTCGGTGCTGCTGGTGCTTTTGTGCACAAGTCGGCGTGTCTTCCCGAGAAGACAGTGCACTGAGCTGTGTTACCCAGCCTAACTCCCAAATCTGTTGCAATGTCTGGGGCTCTGTCAGAGCTTCCTGGCCCTCTCTCAAGGATGACGAATTCTGGGACTGTACCCTTAACCTGCCTCTGGAAAATTGCACTGTGATCATACCTCTTTCTGAAGGTGCTTTTGGTTTGCACTGTGTAAAGCATGCCAGTGGGCTGACCTTGCAGACACCGGTATGAATAGTGCTGTTGGTTTTAGCAGAACCGCCTGCCCCAGCGCGAGTCTGCAAGGTGCAGTCCCAAATTGTTGCACTTTGGCGTTAGCAGTTGGCAGAGTGCCTTAAACGACCCGTGACCCCGTTCTGGTTCCCCTGCCTAGGGATGCCCACACTGCACCCTGACACGAGACAAGGGTCTGGGTGTTCTTGGCTTGTCTAGAAACCTGGAACGTGATTCCATTGCGTGCCGCCTTGGTGGCGTCCAAAATCCTGTGTGCGCTCCTTTTAGTCCCCATGGGGTACGGTGCCTTTAGCCTGCAGACCCTGGCCTTGGGGAAGGTAGGGAGAAACCAGACCATGTGCCTGTCTGGTGCCTCCTGCCCTCCTCTGGGGGGATGCCCTCTACTAGCTGAAGAGGCCTTTTGTTGAGGTAGGGAATGAATCCTCTAGCAAAAATACTGCTTAAAAAAAATTTTTTTTTCAACTAGCTTTGTATAATACTGTTTGACTTACTAATTCTGAGTGAAGAGGCATTTTGGTGGCTAAGTACTACAAAAGAGGATTGATTGTCTTGGAGACATGCTTACCTACACAAGCTATGTAGGAGCAAATGGTAGTTGTTCACTTTCTGAAGCCTGCTGAAATGTCAAGCAAGATTTCCTGAAGTTTGTTAAATAAATTTCTTTGAAATAAGAGAACTGCAATTCTCTGGTTCTGTATTGAGATATTGGGCTGCAGATTTGAGGGGAAGAGTGGAGGTTTATGTAATCCCTCCCAGGCACCAGTTCCACATGGGTACTCGGTGGGATGGATGAAGAAATGCCTGCTTGGTGCCCTGATGAGCGCTGACCGGGGGGCAAGGCTCTGCAGAGCCACCGGCGATGCTCCTCTTCCCCCTCCAACACGTCCACGCTGCCCCAGCAGCCAGCTCACTTGCTGTGTTACGAAACGAGAGGGGCAGTCGGCTGCGCTTAGGCAAATTCGAGAGATCCTTTTAGGCTCTCGGTGATTTCCTGCTGTTCAGGTTCTGTTTACCAGCTAAATAGTTTTTTTTCCTATGTCTTCCTGTTGTGTTTTCCCACACGTTAAGCACCATCTGAAGCACCCTTGCTCTTTCCCCAGCTTTCTCGTGCTAATTTTGTCTGCAGAGTAGTATTTGAGTATAAATATTACTTTTTTTTAAAGCTCACTATGCTAACAGTTTTTCTCAAATGTCAAGCATTTCCAGCTCCACCCCCGAATTAGTTTATGTAGCCTCGAGCAGGGTAACTAGCACCTGGTATTCTCTCTCCAGTGAGAGAGACCAGTTGGCCTGTCTCAGATGGTTTGATGTCCCTTAAAAGCTGGGTAATGATCACCACCCCCTGTGAAAGAGTTGTTCAAACTTGTTCGGATGCTAACTTTGATAGGAAACCTGTGCACAAACCATTGCTTGTGGATAAGAATAAGGAAATAATAGGCTAGGCCCACTAACTAGGGAGATACCCTGGAGATACTAGGGAGATACCAGTACCAGTACTTGCATTTTAAGCCTTTACAGTGGCCTCATAGGCTGTGCATCGAGGAAACCCCTGGCTGGGTGCTGAGCAGTCTTTTGCTTTTGTGATTCGGGGGGGGGGGAAGGTGATTACAGGAAGATTACTGGCCTTGCCTGTCCTCTTTCCCAGGGCTTTGGGTAAGAAGCAGGTGATGGCCCTTCTAAACCACTGGCTTGAGCTCGCGTGTTCAAGAACAGCCTCTGTGCTGGGTGAAAGACCAGTGTGTCCAGGGGGGCAGAAGGGGGGTGTTGGTTGGGTTCTTTGTGGTTTCCCTTGATCGCCAGCCATGGATCCATCTGCTGTGAACTGGCACAAGCCCCTTTTGAAGCTGTTGATTTCAATTCCCCTGATGCTCAGTCGTGAAGAGTTTCACAATATAACTCTTCATGGTATAACATTGCTTTTTGCTTCTGACAGTTTAGGTGGGAACTTCCTTGTAGCTGTGTTGGGAGAAGAATTCATTGATCGCTTCTTCTTAAATTCAGTCTTATGTTTTAGACTGCTGGTGTTAGGGCTGCCGAGCTGCTGCCGGGATTGCTGGCTTGGAGAGCTGCAACCGGCATCTTCGATGACCCGGAGCAAATATCCAGGGATTGTCACAAGCTGAACGGTGATAAACAACCTATCTGAAAGATGGTACTGAAGTCCTGTTTCCTAATAACAAATGCCTGCTGTCCGTTAAATAAGGAGCAAGGATGGAGAGGGGGAAAGTCGGTGAACTCTGCATATGTTCATGTTGCGCTTTTTTGTCCAATGGCACCTGTAGCTATTTCCAGGCCACTGAAGTTGGGAATTTGTGTCTTGCACCCGTTCCTCGCTCCCACTCTTTGCATTGCTCCCTGAGATTTTCTTCTCTCTTCATCTGCTTAAAAGCATGTCAGAGGGATTGTAGAGTTCCTGGAGTTATGTAGCTCTTAATTCTTGAGTCTCACCTTGCTGTTAATCGCAGAAATATCCTTGGCAAGGAAGACTGCTTTTGCATAACCTGAAGGGGGCTGGCAAGGTGAGAACCCCACCTTTGCTACTGTGTGCTGCGACAGCAGCCTTCCACCTTCAGGTCTCGGCACTGCAGTGCGTGGGGCCACCTCCGTCCAGCGCCTACGGGGGATGGACTCGCTCTTCCCGGAGGCCCGAGCGCTCCCACGCCAGCCGACAGCCGCAGCGACCGGCGGAGACTCGGCTCGTCGGACAAACCAGGCCAGTGCCCGGTGCCTGGGCAGTAAATGCCTGAAGCAGAACATGTAACGTGGGATCTGGGGACGCTTGCCTTGCTTTCAAGCAGCTCAAGCACAATCAGAATGACCCTCTAAATCAATAGTTTCTGCCAGAAGGCTGATTTGGAAAAAAAAGAAAGAAAATAAACCGCTTTTTTATTTCAGAGCATATGATCCCCTGCTGTTTGCCCAGGATTTCTGTACAAATATATATCGTGCTCTGCCTGGGCTATGCCCAGCCTTGTGCCAGCCCTTGCACCATGCTCCGAACTGAGCTTTTCCACAGGCTTGTGAGATAGCAAATAATTGCATCAGATCTGCTTAATTACACCTTATTGGATTTCTTCATCTATATTTTTTCATTAACGCAGTAAGAAGGCGCTCGTGTTTAAAACAAACAGCTGCTCTGGCTTAACTGATAAATGTTTAATTCCCAGGCAGGGAGCATGCGTGCTGTTTCCCTGCTCTCGTTGGTCTTAATTTAGCTTTCATAGGCCAGAGAGAAAATTAGGCTAACGATCGTGTCTGTTTTGGAAGTATCTGACTTGCTAAACACACTGGGCCCGAGCGAATCCCTCAGAAGCTGGGAGGATCTGCTTGTTTTGAGTAAGTTAGCAAGGCGCAAGGGGGGTTTTATCCAGACTTGAGGGAACGCGTGACGGGGAAAAAACGTATATATCTTTTTCCTGTCCTTAAACTCGCAGTTTAAAACTCAGCTAATCACAGCAGTCAACATCTGCTTCTGGGCAGGTGATTAAACTTGGAAGGCACCCTTTAAATTTCTCGGCATGTTTTGCCTGTGGTAAAATGATGGACGCCTGCCATGAGGATTTGGTGTAAATAAGGGCGTGTGAGAGCAGTTTTGGCAACAGCGGGGGAACGCGCGGGTCTGCGGGAGCGTGCTGGCTCTGCCAGTGCTTTATGGGGCTGCAGGAGGGAAAAGTGTGAGAAATGCCCGCTCTCTTTCTGTTCAGTCATCAAGAAAGCCAGGCAAGCGTTGCCTCAACTGGGGAAATGAAGATTAAAAAATCAAATACTAGATTTGCTCGCTTTTGCTGTCTGAATTTGTTTATTCCTTTCTGACTCAAACCCAGAGAATTTCCCTAACAATCTTACCCTTAAAAACATAAAGCTGCAGTAGAAGGTCAAATACCTTGTGACAGCGTACTACCACGTAGTCTGGCAGATTTTGTCAGGTTTGTATGACTGCAGACTCGAGATAAATTTTTGCCTGCCCATCTGGTGTTGTTTTTCACAAGACACTTTCTATTGCCCAGTTCAATTCCGTTCTAAATGTCCCAAGGGCTTTCACTGCTTCCCTCCAGAGACTAGCTGGGCAAATCCCAGAAGTACAGACAAAACAGTAAAGCGTGGTCTTACCAAAGTTTTCTCGGCCACCTTGGGAATTTGCTATAATAGCTCTTTTACAGTTTCAAAAACTGATATGAATCCAAATTCCTGTTATTTCTGAGGTCTCCGCTGCTAGAGCAGGCGAGGGAAGAAAACTTTCTGAGCTTGCCGCTGCCCCTGCTCGCTGCAAACCCGAGCAACGAATACGCGATAGGAGAGGAAGGAGCTCAGCCGTGCCTAATTGTTCTCAATGTCCACTGCCACAGCAGCAACATTTTGAATCCCAGTAAATTTTAGGGATGAATTAATTGTGCTTTTCAAGCCTATGGGCTGCGTTAAAGTTTGGCACGTAACCTTCATCTTGCAAAGCTGAATATCCTCCCAGCTTCAACAGGAGAAATACAAAACACCTAAAAAAATCACACGCCTGGCTTAGCCTGAAACGAGCTGGAAGGGAGCTGCATGAAAGATGAAAGGCTACATCTAAGGTAGAAATAGCAGCTTTAAAATATTGGTGTGGAAAGAAACACAAATGACTGCGGCCAGAAACCCAAAGAAGAGCAAAATGTTTTGGCCCACTTTTCTTTGCAAAATAACTCTGGTGCTGCACAGGATACAGATGAACAGATGTGCTTCAAGAGCAGCTGATCTCCAGCCAAGTTCTGCTTTCGGATATACACACAAGAGTCCCAGCGCAGTCCACGGGACTTAACCACGCGCATCAGAGGATGGAGGTATCCTCCAAGCGTACGGCGTCCGCTAAAGCACGCTTGATTTTTGGATGGTTGGTCTCCTGTGCTCTGGTGGGCTGGACTTTGCTGTCTGCACCACTTGAGTTAAGCCACTTCCTCCGTTGCTAGCTGAGGTGCTGAGATGCTGACGCAAGTGTTTGCTCAGATGCCACTGCCTCCATTTTCGCTGCACTTCCAGCTGAACCTGGGTAGAAAGGTCACAAAATACTTAGCTCAGCTAGTTGATCTTGGAGCCCTGCAACGCAGAGAGCAGTACAACAGGAAGAGGAGAGGCGGTTACCTTTGCCAAAGTTTGGCTTTATTTACTTAACCCCTGGTCTGAGGGGTTGGGGTAGGACCTGGGTCTTGTCACTTTTAGTGATATTGTTGTTGCTACACAGTTTTCAGTTGACGTGTTTTTCTATTAGAAAGGTTTAACTGAGGTTGAAACTGCTCACGGAAACTAGCTGGCCTTTGTAAGTGCCTAGTGTAGATTTTTCCAGGGTTTTTATTTTATTTATAAATATAGGACGTTCTGACAATTACAAAAATACAGATTTTCTGTTCAAAACAACTTTTTTTGAAACCCTCTTTTGATAAGTTCAAGCATCATGCAGACTCTTTCAAACCGACATCCATTTCAAAGTAACCTTTTCTTCCAACCTTAGGCACTGACAATTTTTTTCTTCCAAAAGATCTCAGGGTCTCACAGGACTGGAAAACCTTTCCCCTCACCTCTAACAGTAGCGTTTCAGTATGCAGCTTCTAGCCTAGGAGTCTAGGAGAGCGAGTAATCATACGACGAGCATGGAAACGGACCCTGTCCCAAAGATTTACACGATGAGT